CCCCCCTTTTCACCTCTCCAAAACACGGTAGATGACAATAGTAATGAGTGTGTGATTGCCCCTGGCTGAAACACAACACGTCAAAACAAACAGTCAGCCGGCACAGGCAACCACCAAAATATTGTGCTGCAGCGGTCGAGTGACAGCGGTCAATCCGTGATCGCATTCGGTCGGATCCAGCGCGGGGGCTTTTTTTTTTTTCTTCTTCGGTCTGATATCTTGCCAAAAAACTCGAAAAACCAGCCACCGAGTTTATTCCCACCCCAGAATTCTATCCCTTACTTCTCTCACCTCTCGTCAGAGACCCTATAGGCCTAATCATCGCCTCTCGCAAGCAACGAGATCTACTTTTACAAATCCGAACCAATGAGCTTAAAACAACTGTAACCTCCTTTACCCGGACAAACCTCTCAGAAACCCGCCAAATCTAATAATAATAATATCGGAAAAAATACCAGCCAAACGCGTAGTACCGGGGGTAAACCTGAGAACACCCAAGACCTGACCCCCACGACGTGTTGTCGCCGCTGCCAATGGAGCGCGGGAAAACAGACTTTGTGTTGGCCAATCGCGGCGAGCGGAGAGCGGCCTGTATTTACAGTGGTTTACAACGTTGCCTTGCCACGCGCGCCTCGCCGCCCACCTCCACACACGGCCAGATGGCAGGAGAGAGGGCGAATAATGGTGGCACGACGTGGTGGAATCATGCGCTCGTCAATTTTGGGCATGTGGAGTTATTGATATCATCAGAAAGTTTATTCATACACGTTGCTTTTAATGAAAAAAACCCACCCAATTCATCTAGTTTGAATTGAAGTCGAGATTTTTGCGATTGAAGGAGGTGGGGTAGCCTAGTTTTAGTGGTAAAACTAATGCGAAAAGGGCAGCCAACGTTTGGTAACTTCAATAGCTTTAAGAGTCATTGAAAACTGAAAATTACATATTTTGTGCTTTTAAACAAGGGTTTTCAGTCAAATTCAAATGGAAATGTGTTTTTATATGAACATGGAAGTTTTATCGCCAAAAACAAAATTTCGATAAAAATTGCTAAACAGGTGGGAAAATGCCGTCTTCTATTTCATGATTTTGACGAGCGCCTGATTTCACCACGATGTCTCGTAAGACGGAAAAAGGAGGAGAGGGGGGAGGGGACGGGGTGGGGAGTGTGCAAGGTCTTTGAGCACACGGGTGAGGGGCGAGGGCGAGGGGGAGGGGAGGGATTTGGTGGCACAGGTCTGGAACCTATTTACCTGTGTGAATGGTGACAGGCGAGGCAGTCGTGCCCGGCTCCCGCGCCCCTGAGAGCGTGTGTCAGTTTGGAAGTGCTGGATTCTCCTTGCTTCGTTCCCAACTTTGTTTCAACTTGTTTTAGACCTCCCTTCGGACCATCCACAAAATTCAAACCATCTTTGACATATTGTTTAAACTGCCCCGAACAATATATCGCTGGACTTACTCTTTTCTTTTTTTGATGCAGAAGTTTTGTAGGAGGAGTTGGTGTTTTAAAGACGAAGGGAACAGATTAACTCTGTAGAGGACAGCGCCAGGCAAGCACGGGCAAGTCGGAGCGGCGACAAACAACAACAACAGCTGAGAGTTAAAGTTAAACATCAGCTCTGGTCAGCTGGGAGTGCGATCTGGAGACAAGGCTTGGAGACTTACGTGAATACTGGTCTTTATCTAGACAGATACCTCGCCAAGACACGTCGTGTATTAGCTCAAGAAAGCACATCATTGGTGAGTAGATAGATCGTGACTGACGCTTGTTATTACTTGTCTGTTTCGTTTGTCGTGCCCTTCAAAACGTTCGACTCCATTGACTTCTCGAAACGAAAATCGAACTCATATTTTTGTTGCTCAACTGACACCGGTGATGCTAGCATTTGATCAACCAGTTATAAGTGGTGCGGGCCAGTAATAGATCTACAACTTTAGAATCTCATATTTCTATTACACTTACACCCTTCCACCAAATTTTTAAAAATCCACTCTTTAAAATAAAGATTAGCTTTGGGTGTTCGAAAGCAATGCCGTACTTTCTAAACAAGAAGTAAACTTTAGATTTGACATAACGGTAAAACATCGTACAGTTGACACTGTCTAAGACGATGAGCCATTTTTGAGCAATCACAGGTGGACGCGTGGAATAGTGTCGTGTTAAAATAGTTATTATTTTTATCTAGGTATCTATCCTTTTGTTTGTCAATACTATCACACACATAAATACTACCCCCC